CCTAGCATGGTGACAAAACGTCTGAATGAGAATAAGTCAGTTTGGCGAGCAAGTCAACAACCTCACTTCAGGAGCAGATTTCTGAGACGTTTCTGGAAGGATTTTTACTGAGTCTAGTCACCTGATTATAGTCTTTGTTATGCAGTTGGTTTGTTTTTTAAAATAGTCACTGAAATTTTATGTATGTTTTCTATTAGTCCATGTGTAACAGATTTGTCTTAAGTGTATTGACTGTTTAATGAGCCGTCTATGGGCTGTTTGTCCACATCTTGTCTGTTAACTCCTATTTACCTTGTGTTAGAATATATAGAAGATTGCTTTAACTTTTCTTAATTTACATAGTGTTATGAAGTTCGGTAGAGTAATTGTGAAGTAGAAGGCAGGAAGCTAAAATGTGTGCTATCTTTAAGAGATTTGTGCTTTGTACTTAGAAACTAAAAAAAATTTCTATGTCTGTGAGCAGCAGCTGAAGTTCACAGTTTAGGGAACCTCAAAAAGTGAAACTAGTGTATCAAAAATACCTTACAGGTAGCAGGCAAAACAGTAGTCTTGTTTAGATATAGTAGGAACTGCTGATGCTGGAGTCTGAGATAACAATTTGTTGGTGTTGTTTAGATGTTGTGGTGAGTTTGAATTCAACTAATTAATTTAAATGAACCACCTAGAAAAACAGAAAGCGAATTGAATTTCAATCCGATGGTGTTGACAACTGAAACCAATCATATTATAAGAATTTGATTGTGTCATTATGTTATATAAGACGAGGGCATTTGGAAAATTGGAGAGAGCCAGCTGCCATCTGAAAGAGAGAGACAACTGTCACTGCCAGTGTCAGTACCAGAGATAGTAAGAACTGCCGATGCTGGAGTCAGAGATAACACAGTGTGGAGCTGGAGGATCACAGCAGGCCAGGCAGCATCAGAGGAGCAGGAAAGTTGATGGGTCGGGACCCTTCTTCAGAAAAAAAAGGGTCCCGACCCGAAACGTCAACTTTCCTGCTCCTCTGATGCTTCCTGGCCTGCAAAGTTAGCACTAGTCAGCTCTCAGAGAAAGCCTATCTAATTAATCAAAGGTACCATGGTATTTTAGCTCAAAGCCCTCATTGAAGAAAAATGTAGAGATAAAACATCCCTAACAGCAGAATTAATGGAAGAAAGGTGTTTGTGAAGAGATTGCAGATAACAGAATAGGAAGTCTGTGCAAACTTGGAGAGATTAAGTCATAATTTATTGCTTTTTATTTATTGGGTTTTTTTCTTGAAGAAATGCTTTTATTTAAACAATATTGCAGCAGAATTTAGAGATAGTAGGAACTGCAGATGCTGGAGAATCCGAGACAACAAGGTGCAGGGCTGGATGAACACAGCAGGCCAAGCAGCATCATAGGAGCAGAGAGGCTGACGTTTCGGGCCTAGGCCCTTCATCGGAAAAGCAGAATTTAGACCAGTTAGGGAGTAGGTAGTAGGCTAAGGGGGAATGGTCGGTTTATTAGTAGTTTTGTTAATTTGTTCATTGTTATGTTAATAAATAAATTGTTTCTTGTTACTTGTAAAGCGGAGATCAGGGATTTTCTTTATTTTAACCATTCTTAATAGATTGTGAGGGGAAAGACTAGCTTCTCTGGGTGTTTTGGGGGTCATTTTTAGAGGGGAACCCCTACTCCTGTCACAACAGATCAGGGTTTGAGTTTTAGTTTAGTTATCACAGGGGTTCAGCCATTCCCCGTCATAACAATAGTGAACTTTAGTTTGTTCAAAACAATGGAAACTTGTAACTTTATTCTCTTTGTAAATACCTGGAATCTTGATCTTTGTCTACTTCTAACAAAGCAAAAGTTACTATTCCCTCACCAATGTCATGTAAATTTAATGGTATTCTCCAGGATCATAGCAAAACTGACAGACCTATAATTGTTGGGTTTCTCCTTACACCCATGAGTTCAGCTCATGATTTTATTTGTGACCATCTTCAGCTGCTTCTCCCAATTCACATTGCCAATCAATCCCAAACCTCCCTCCAGGACCTGAATGGATAGTCATAAATAAATTCATGAGCTCCTTTCTCTTGAGATGTGAGCGATTTAAGAATTAATTTAATGCTGAAGGAAAGAAGCTTGGTGCTGTCTTCACTCTGATGTTTTGGTAGAGTGACTCTTCTGTTAAACAGCTTGATCGGAACTTTATTTAGCTCATCAGAAATCCTCAGAATTTTGAATAAAGCTGTCAAATCTTTTAACCTTTACTGACATTTTAAGTGTCCAATGCCTGATTTGTCTTAATAAGTTGCTTTCCTACTCCATTTGTGACCTTGATGCTTTCCTTACGTCAGATGTGATCGAGCAGAATATTCTAAATGTCATTTAACCAAAAATTTGTCTACATTTAGAAATATTTATCCTCTTTTGAACAACATGACCCTATTTATCACACCTAGGATATCCATATACCTGCAAATTGTCCTGTCACTTTTAAAGATTTTTATATGCAACTGGAAATTGAGAGGGGAACAATGCTTTAGAACATTAAATTCCTGATGAATTCATTCCAGTGGCTTATGTTTTTAAACATCTGGAGGCATTTTAAAACCTTTGCACCAAACCAATGTTATTTTAAGTGTCTAACCATGCTTAGCTATGGTGACTACAGCTATAAGCTCATTTTGTTTTGACTTGTAAACGAAGTAAAGGTTTACTCAGTTTTAGGCAGTATTGAGCTATGTTTTCCATGCTGAAGAAGGTTTGTTGGTACTGATTGGAAATTCATACTTTGTACCTAGCCCATAAGTAACCAAAAAATATATTGTTGCCGTTGTATGTCCCTGTCAAATTATCTGTGCCATTGAAGAAAGAAGAATATCAGAATTTACAGAATTCAGAAATAATGTATATTTGTTTACCATGTAGTATGTTATTGCTGTGGGTGAAAACTAATGTGCACTTTAACACAACTTGTAATTGTGGCATTGCTTTAAAAAAAGACACGTTCAACATGGAAGAAGCCCTCTTAAACATGATATGAGAAATGCAGGCTTGGATAATTGATTTAAAGGTTTATAAACTTAACAGCTGTTGGTTTCAGTTTGAACGTTTTTGGTACTTACACCAGATTTCAATGTCAATGGAGCTGCTCTGGCCATAATCTTGTTGACAATTGATGTTATGATATCTCCTTAATGTTGTGGATTTATATCATCTGTTATAATTTCTATATTGTCCAGTTGCATTTTCTCATACTTAATGTGAAGAAACAATTCTATAAGGAAAGCCAAGCAGCTATGACATCAAAGTATAACCTTGTCTGTCAAAGTAATCTGATAATTCATGTGACCTGGGACAACAAAAAGAAATAAGAGCAGAGTAAATCATTACTTGCTTTGCTGTTATAGAGTCATGAAGCTGTACAGCATGGAAACAGATCCTTCAGTCCAAGTCATCCATGCCAACCCAATATCCTCACTAAATCTAGCCCCATTTGTCAGCATTTGGCCCATATCTCTCTAAACCCTTCCTATTTATTTACCCATCCAGATGCCTTTTAAATGTTGTAATTATAACAACTTCTACCACTTCCTCTGGCAGCTCATTCCATACACGCATCACCCTCTGCGTAAAAATATTGCTCATTAGGTCTTTTTTAAATCTTTCCCCTTCACCTTAAGCCGACGTCCTCTTGTTTTGGACTTTCCCACCCCAGCCAAAAGACCTTGTTTATTAACCCTGTCCATGCCCTGAACGATTTCATAAACCTGTATAAGGTCACCTCAAAGCCTCCGAAGCTCCAGGGAAAAATGCCTCAGAGTATTCAGACCCTCCAACCTGGCAACATCCTCGTAAATCTTTTCTGAACGCTTTTAAGTTTCACAACATCCTTCCTATAGCAGGGAGACCAGAATTGAATGCAGTATTCCAAAAGTGGCCAAACCAATGTCCTGTACAGCTGCAACATGACCTACCAACTCCGATACTAAATGCACTGACCAGTACAGGCAAGCATACCAAAAGCCGCCTTCACTATCCTATCGACCTGCGACTCCACCTATCTGTGTCTCATTTGTACTTTCCAGCCCCATCCCTATATCTCATGATTCAATTCATATCCAAAAATCCATTAATGGGTATTAATTTTACCTAAGATGATGTGGATGTTCTACCCTGTGTCTTCATAGTAACTTGAAACTTTTAAAATACCCTTATGTTCTTCCCCATAGTCCTGCAAACTCTTGGAAGCACTTTTATTAACAGTACTTCCAGATCAATATAAGTTGCTTTTTTTTTTGGTATTCATTTGTGGGTTATGGACATCACTGGTTGGGCCAGCATTTATTGGCCATCCCCTGTTGCCTTTGAGAAAATGGTGATAAGCTGCTTTCTTAAACCACTGCAACCCATTTGGTGTAAGTAGACCTAAAATGTCATTAGGGAGGGAGGTCTAAGATTTTGACCCAGAGGCGCTTAAGGACCTGCACTATATTTCCAAGTAAGGAATGTGAGTGGCTTGGAGAAGAATTTACAAGTGGTGGTGCTGTCATGTATCTGCTGTCTTTGTTCTAGATGGAAATGGTCACGGTTTAGAAGATGCTATCTGTCCTTTTACCTTTCTTTATCTCTTCTTCTGCTCCACCTTTATTGGCAGAACTTTTTGTTCTTTTTGCCTCACACTGAGTTTCTCTCTGAAGAGATGTTCACAATCCACTTCCTAAAATTAGTAAGATTTAAATTCTTCAGTTAGTGTTTAGCATCCCATTTTTAAAAATTTTATTTGTGACTCATTTTGAGTTTATTGTCCAAGCCTAATTGCTTCTGGGAAGCATGTTGCTTTGTGATGCAATTCACCCAAAAGATGCCACATAAATGTGAAATGAGTAAGTTGTGGCAGAAGAACATAGAAACAGAAGTAGACCATTCAGTCCCTCGAACCTGTTCCACCATTGCTGATCTGTGGTGTAACTGCCTTTAGCCCATATCTTTAATATCTTTGCATAATAAAAAACTATCTTTCCCAGATTTCAGTTGTTTCAGCGGAGGGAGTCCAGGAGAAAGCACGAGGGCAGCCTGGGAAGGTAAGCTTTTCGATTATAAAAGTCTTACCTCGCATGACTGCGGCCTTTCAGTTGTTTCAGCGGCAGGAGTCCGGGAGAAAGCGCGAGGGCAGCCTGTGAAGGTAAGCTTCCACCCAATAAATTTGGGAGTTAACTAATACTCGAGATACTACACGCGTAGTGTCTCCCACCCTTCCACCTCCTCTAACGTAATAATAACGACTAAGTGTGGTGAGCAGGTAAGCTATTTGCATTTTTTTTCCTCATCTCTTTGTTATCTTTCAGGATGATCACCTAGACGCCAAATCCTCTGGGAGCGGGTCGGAAGGCAAAGCCAGAGTCTGTTTGAGTATATAACGGAGTAAACTTACTGGTGCAGAAAACACTGCAAAAAAAAGCACTAATTAGTTTTAAATAATTAACTAAGTAGAGATGGCAGGCCAGGTGATGTGTTGTAGCTGTATGATGTGGAAGCAAGCTGATCCCATTGAGAACGGCAGTGACCACATCTGCAGCAAGTGTTGGCTGCTTGAGGAGCTCCGGCTCAAAATTGATGAGCTGGAATCCGGACTCCAAACACTGCGGCACATCCGGGAGGGGGAGAAATACCTGGATGCTGTGTTCCAGGAGGCAGTCACACCTGGTAGATTAACTAATGTTAATTCGATCAGCAGGCAGGGACAGCAGTGTGTGACTGCGAGTGAGGCAGGTAGAGGGACCCTGCAGACAGGAACACAGGAGCCGCAGCCCTTGACATTGTCCCACAGGTATGAGGCACTTGCTCCCTGTGTGGATGAGGAACAGGGCTGCAGGAAGGATGAGTCAACTGATCATGGCACCATGGTCCAGGAGGCCATTCAAGAGGGGGGAGCAAAAAGACAGATTGTAGTTGTAGGGGATTCCATCATCGGGGAGATGGATAGTATCCTTTGAGAGCAGGATAGAGAATCCTGCATGGTGTGTTGCCTGCCCGGTGCCAGGGTGCGAGATATCTCTGACCGGCTTGAGAGGATACGAGAGAGGGAGGGGGAGGATCCAGTTGTTGTGGTCCACGTAGGTACCAACAACATAGGCAGGACTAGGAAAAAAGACCTGTTTCGGGATTATGAAAAGCGAGGAACAAAATTAAAAAACAGGTCTTCAAGGGTCATAATCTCTGGATTGCTGCCCGAGCTACGTGCAAATTGGCACAGGGAGGCGAGGATCAGGGAAGTAAACACATGGCTAAAAGAGTGGTGTGGGAAAGAGGGTTTCCTTTTCATGGGGCACTGGCATCAGTTCTGGGACAGGAGGGCTCTATACCGCTGGGATAGACTCCACCTGAACAGGGCTGGGTCCAGTGTTCTGGCGAAAAGAGTAAATAGGGTGGTTAATAGGACTTTAAACTAGTAAGTAGGGGGGAAGGGAGAAATGAGCATAGAGGGAGAATAACAATTAATGTAAGGCAAAGCAGCAGGTGACGAGGAAGCTTCAACTCCATTGAAAATGAGGAAAAAAGTTAAAGGGAAGGAGAACTCAAGAGCTGTTGGTAATGGAGGTAATAGGACCCAAAAAGAAGGTGCAAAAACTGTCATAAGGGCACTTTATCTGAATGCTCAGAGCATTTGAAACAAGGTGGATGAATTGACGGCGCAAATCATGGCAAATGGGTATGATTTAGTGGCCATTACAGAGACATGGTTACAGGATGGTCATGACTGGGAGTTAAATATCCAGGGGTATCAAACTGTTCGGAAGGGCAGACAGGAAGGTAAGGGAGGTGGTGTTGCTCTGATTTTTAAGGATGATATCAGGGCGGTAGTGAGAAATGATACAGGTTCTACTGAACAAAACGTTGAATCCATTTGGGTGGAAATTAGGAATAGCAGGGAGAAGAAGTCACTGATAGGTGTTGTCTATAGGCCACCAAATAATGACATCGTGGTGGGGTGGGCAATAAACATAGAAATAGCTAATGCATGTAAAAATGGTACAACAATTATCATGGGGGATTTTAACCTACATATAGATTGGTCAAACCAGGTCGGTCATGGCAGCCTTGAGGAAGGGTTCATAGAATGCATCCGCGATAATTTCCTTGAACAATATGTAATAGAACCTACGAGGGAACAAACTATCCTAGATCTAGTCCTGTGTAATGAGACAGGAATAATTAATGATATCACAGTTAGGGATCCTCTCGGAAGGAGCGATCACAGTATGGTCGAATTTAAAATACAGATGGAGCGTGAGAAGGTTAAATCCAGTACCTACGTCCTGTGCTTAAACAAAGGAGACTACGAAGGAATGAGGGAGGAGTTAGCTAAGGTATAGTGGGAGCAAAAACTTTATGGGGGTCAATTGAGGAACAGTGGAGGACTTTCAAAACGATTTTTCCCAGTGCTCAGCAGAAGTATATCCCAGTGATAAGGAAGAACTGTAGGAAAAGGACAGTCAGCCATGGATGTCTAAGGAAATAAAGGAAAGTATCAGATTGAAAAAAAAACACATACAAAAAAGCAATGAGTAGTGGGAAACTAGTAGACTGGGAAATCTTTAAAGGCCAACAGAAAGCCACAAAAAAAATTATAAAGAAAAGTAAGATAGATTGAGACTAAACTAGCTCAGAATATAAAAACAGGCAGCAAAAGTTTCTATAAATATGTAAAACGTAAAAGAGTGGTGAAGGTAGACATTGGTCCTTTAGAAGATGAGAAGGCCAATTTAATAACTGGGAATGAGGAAATAGCCGAGACATTAAACAGTTATTTCGTGTCGGTCTTCACAGTGGAAGACACAAATAACATGCCGAAAACTAATGGCAAGAAGGTTATAGCAGGCGAGGACCTAGAAACTATCATTATCACAAAGGAGGCAGTGCTGGGCAAGCTAATGGGGCTAAACGTAGACAAGTCTCCTGGCCCTGATGAAATGCATCCCAGGGTACTAAAAGAGGTGATGGGGGAAATAGCAAATGCACTAGTAATTACTTACCAAAATTACTGGACTCTGGGGTGGTTCCCGCGGATTGGAAAACAGTCAATGTGACGCCACTGTTTAAAAAAGGAAGTAGACAAAAAGCAGGTAACTATAGGCCAGTTAGCTTAACTTCGGTGGTGGGGAAAATGCTTGAATCTATCATTAAGGAAGAAATAGCAAGACATCTGGATATAAATTGTCCCATTGGAAACACCCAGCATGGGTTCATGAAGGGTAGGTCATGTTTAACTAATTTGGTGGAATTCTTTGAGGACATTACTTGCATGGTGGACAATGGGGAACCTGTGGATGTGATGTATCTGGATTTCCAGAAGGCATTTGACAAGGTGCCACACCAAAGGTTGCTAAATAAGATAAAGTTGCACAGTATTACAGGTAATGTATTGGCATGGATAGAGGATTGGTTGACCAGTAGAAAGCAAAGAGTAGGGGTAAATGGGTGTTTTTCTGGTTGGTGGTCAGTGGCTAGCGGTGTGCCTCAGGGATCAGTGTTGGGACCGCAATTGTTTACAATTTACATAGATGATTTGGAGTTGGGGACTGAGTGTGGTATGTCAAAATTTGCAGATGACACTGAGGTGAGTGGTAGAGCAAAGTGTGCAGAAGACACTGAAAGTCTGCAGAGGGATATAGATAGTCTAAGTGAGTGGGCAAAAGTCTGGCAGATGGAGTACAATGTTGATAAGTGTGAGGTCATCCATTTTGGTAGGAGCAACAGGAAAATGGACTATGTTTTAAATGGTAAAAAATTGCAGCACGCTGCTGTGCAGAGGGACTTGGGTGTCCTTGTGCATGAATCGCTAAAAGTAGGATTGCAGGTGCAGCAGGTAATTAAAAAGGCAAATGGAATTTTGTCTGCCATTGCGCGACGGATGGAGTTTAAAAACAGGGAGGCTATGCTGCAGCTGTATAGAGTCCTGGTGAGGCCACACCTGGAGTACTGTGTGCAGCTTTGGTCTCCTTACTTGAGAAGAGATATACTAGCTCTGGAGGGGGTGCAGAGGAGATTCACTCGGTTGATTCCAGAGTTGAGAGGGTTGGATTATGAGGAGAGACTGAGTAGACTGGGATTATACTGATTGGAATTCAGAAGAATGAGGGGAGATCTTGTAGAAACATATAAGATTATGAAGGGAATAGATAAGGTGGAGGCAGGGAGGTTGTTTCTGTTAGCAGGTGAAACTAGGACTAGAGGGCATCATCTCAAAATAAAGGGAAACCGATGTAGGACTGAGGTCAGGAGGAACTTCTTCACCCAAAGGGTTGTGAATCTGTGGAATTCCCTGCCCAGTGAAGCGGTTGAAGCCACCTCGCTGAATGTTTTTAAGGCAAGGCTAGATAAATTTTTGAACAGTAAAGGAATTAAGGGTTACGGTGAGTGGGCAGGTAAATGGAGCTGAGTCTCAAAAAGATCAGCCATGATCTTATTAAATGGCGGGGCAGGCTCGAGGGGCCAGATGGCCTACTCCTGCTCCTAGTTCTTATGTTCTTATTTAAAGTTAACAATTGATCCAGCATCCATTGCCATTTGTGGAGGAGGTATCCAAACATTTACTACCCTTTGTGTGTAAAAGTGCTTCCTAACATCTCTTCTGAATAGTCTGGCTTGATTTTTCAGACTATGTTCCCTAGTTCTACAATCCCCAACCAGTAAGTTTAGATTATCTTTATCTACCTTGTTGTCTCATGTTAATATCTTGAAGACTTCAATCAGATCATCCCTTAAACTTCTAATTTCTAGAGAAAAGAGGCCTAATTTGTGTAATTTCTCCTCATTGCTTAACCCCTGAAGTCCTGAAGTTTGTTGAGCTCGAATAATAGCAGTGTAAAAACTTTGTGCTGTTAGGTACAAAGCAGTAAAACTTTAGCAGTAATGTATTAGACTTGATGGTGAACAAAATGAAACATTAAAACCTTGATTTGGAAAGTTCAAGGGTGTGTGGGAGTAACGTGAATTCTGATTACAGCTATAGCAAGAATTGGTGGAATTTTGGAACAAGGCAAACTCTCTCTGGGTCATAAACTAAGATAATTGAGTAGAG